ATATATATTGTTTTCACTTAGGCCCGTTTAAGGTATGTTTCGTATTGACTGTCTTTGTCATACTCAGCGTATCACAAATATTTGCGGTTATAACAGGCCAAGATGCGACCACTGAACAAGGCCGCATGGGAAGCCTGCAAAGGCAGATTCACAAGGAAGAAAGCCGCGACCGATGAAGGTGTGTAGTAGCTTCATTGAATTTTCTCGAGATATGTTGGATACATTATTGGCAGTGCGATGGCTTGCGCGCCTTGGGAATGGATGGTGAAATAAGCTTCCGTGCAAACTCGTTCTCACGTCGTGTTGACTGGGACTAAATGGCGCTCAACCCGTTTTTTTTGCCGTTCAAGCAATTGCTCTTCGCTAATGTGTGCAAAAATATCGACCCTTTGTATTACAGAAATGCAGAAGAAGATCGCTAAAAATCCAGAACTAAGCTTGATCGATGTGGACTCCAAGGTATATATATATCAGTGTCATGCTTGAGAGTCGCATAGTACTAGTTGATATTTGCACACATTTCCCGTTGCCCATGGCCTGTTTTTGGTTTTTAACCTGATACAGATACTCTTAACACCATGAGCTGGTGCTTGTCCTGATTATAATGAGTCATATCCTAGAAATACTTTCGGCTACGATAGCCAGATCATAACGGGCGAACAAAGCGTATCGATATTCAAAATTTGTCACTGTTTGTTTTAACTCTATAGATTATCGGAAATCTCCATCAGAATGATTTCAGGCAGTTTGTACTTCTTGGGCTTTCGTCTAAGGAACTGAGAGCGATCTACTACGTGCTTCCTAAATTCAGAAGTGATCAGACCATCCAAATTGAGGTATCTTCATCTGTCACTGCCGTCACTATATGCACACGTGTTCGGTGACTATACTATATTTAGCTTAATCTATCTTATATTGATCTAGCTTATAGTGTAAACCACCATGTATCTACTTTTAGCATCCACTATTTTTTTTGTGTGATAAGTCTGCGTGCAAGTGCTGTTGGCGTTTCTGTATGGCGAGTTATCTCTAGATTTTGTGCGTCGATATTATTTACACTGCCCGCACAATCGTGTATCACTTTTTCTCTAAAGAAAATCATTTTCACTCCTTTGTTTCCTGTCGGAAAAAGTGCACCTTTTATCACAATACCCATCGACTGGAACTCATGTATACACACTCGTCACGGCTCGGCCTAACAGTGGAAGGATCGGCTGCGACTCAAGATTCCGGAGACCGAAGAACAGGAAAAGAAAGATGCGCTGGCACCCAAGGTGACAGTGACGCCCAGAAAGATCGTACGCAAACCCATGGCTAAAACTGGAGGCGGTGGAAATTTCATGGACGAGCTCAAGGCGAGGCAGGAACGGGCGGCAGCAGGGGGCAACTAGATGTGGTATGGTTCTGTGCTACATGAATATTGGTATGTATTGATGTATCACGCTTGTGTGTCATACCTGGCTTCCGTCTCGTAGTTTATTTTATATCACAGAATGTGGCACGTCAGGACAGATAAAATTCAGTATTATATATCGTAGTCGTCCCTCCTGCATACTATCGCAGTTTGTATGAGTGGTCGATGTCGTATAATGAACAAGCGCAGACGAGAGTATGCGACCGTGCGACGTTGTAAGCTTTTTGCATTTATGTACGCTATGTACGCAGTAGTTAGCGTACACTATACCAATAGCAGCTATTTCAAGGTGTCAAGCGTACTTTGGAGGACGTGTTGGTGACTTTTACTTCTAAGTTTGACCAGATGAATAAGAATATCAAACGGGTCAAGAGAAAAAGGCGGGTCCACAGTGTGACTTTGTGGAGCGTCGCACTTGTCATGGGTGTATTGAGAAGGGTCACATAGGGCTGACTGTCTGAGCCTGACGAGGATGATTGACTCATTGGGTCATCTTCTGCTGTTGAGGCTGTGATGTGACCCTTCTCCTTATCCCAGGGTAAGTACGACGCTTCTCGAACTCACCATTTGTCTCCGCCTTATTCTTACGGTTGACCACTCTTGTGAGTCGTTTGATGCCTTTATTTATCCGATCAAATTTAGAAGTGAAAGTCGCCACCACGTCCATCAAAGTACGCTCGGCACCTTGAATTAGCCCTTCTGCCGCGTGATACTCTTGAAAGTACTATGCAGTATCAGGAAACGTTAAAACAAGATCAAAATATAGAGTTCTGGTTAGAGAGCACCATACTATAACTATTCAAACCTACCTGTCTGCTAGTGCATCATATATTATATAAACGCCGCTGACAGGTCAACAGTGCAGAATGAGCTGATTTAAGCTGTGCGTCAACCTACATGCGCAACTTTACTGATTTATCGCGGGATTGGAGGTTATTTTAAAAATTGAGATCTATCGCGAGATTAGAGGTTATTCACGATAAAATTGACCGAAATGAAACTAAATAAATTCATATTATATGCTGTAGTATATCACACAGATTACCTCGGAGGACCCCGCGATTATGATGAGCAAGCGGACTAGCAATCGTACCCAAGCGTCAAAGCTCATTGTTTGGGTTAACTGGTTGGGTTTGCCATCGAAGATGGTAGATTTGCCTAAATACGCGTCAACTGGTGGGAATTCTCCGCGTGGATGCTCTATGACTTGTGCATATACTCAAAAAAATACAAATCTGAAACCGCTCGCGTGACATGTGTAGAGCTGAATGTGCAAAGAGACACTTAGGATCGTGACAATACATCACTACACGATACGCACAAGATCAGCCGAGATACAATGAGGCATGCGGTTTGATAGTTGTTCTTGCAGAACATATATAATCCAGATCTTCCTGGTTGTACTGATATTTTAAAAGTGAAAAATAAAATATATCTAGAAACCCCTTTAGTTTAAGCACTAGATCCCACCATGTTTAGCAGATCCCCTGAGTCTTACCATTGGCTTCGCGATCCAAGAATGAACTAGTATCGCAGTTGTATTGTCTTATAAAAGGAAAGAGAAGTTCGGGACTTATTAAAAGTGAGATCGTCGTCTGATCTCGCGCTACCAATATGTCACAACGCAGAATACAGCGACAGGCATCACGACGGATGTGGGTAATCTTCTGTACAGGGACAGGCAGCACAATTTCGCAGGTAAACATTACTCGTGAGATTTTCTTGAAAAAGAAATGTTGCTTCTGAAGCGGTGTGGCGTAGATACTGGGGAACAGCTTCCTTCTGTGTTGTACATGGCATATTGATAGCACGAGATCAGACGGACCTGTTAAGTTGTTAGAATGTATTGTAGTAGACTTTAAATATAGTGCAGATATATATTTATTTATTTCTGACCTCACCTTTGGTTTTATACCTATGTTTATGCTACTGTTTAGCCGCTTGGGCTGGCCAGGACAAAAACTCATATGTTCAGTATGAGAAACCTTCAGCATAACACTTTAACACTTCGATGCTATTCTATTTCGACTTCTCTGCAATTAAATCTCACTCTGATCACATGATGCTTTTTCGCATCGGTTGTGACTCGCATTGGGCCGCAGCTATTTTTATATTGTTGCGGTTGACAAACTTAATCCACTCTCGAGAGTCGGTTGAGAAGCTTAATCTGCTCTCGGGAGTCGGTTAAGTATTCACTCAACTCGCGGGAGTCATTTAATCAACTTGGTTAGCGCTCTGATGACTTCTATAAATCAAACAGGGTTTGTTGCTGTAAAATCTTTTCTGAGACCTGCAGTCTCTCAAAAGCATCAAACCCACCTACATAGGATTTCCAATACGCAACTATATGGTACCATCACTTAGCCAAGTTATAGTCCGTCATGTGCGGGAGATTCACAAGGGCTGCTAGGCGCTCGTGTATGATCGACACGCCCCTGAAGCCTACCCTGCGGCCGAGGATGGTCACCGGCCGGCGGAAGAATGCCACCGGGCATGACACTTCTTCAGCCCAAGCTGGATTTCGTGCTGTTGACACCTACGGAGGACAGCAAGGAGAGCGTCTCAGTGCTCCACAGCAGTGTCGTTCGCGGTTACGATATCGTCAATATACCATATAACGTGGTGTAGCGCTTCGACAACCTCTGCAAGTGCTTCCTGGAAAGACATGCCGATATAAAAGAACCGGCCTAAGGGGTTCCAGAAAT